AACAACACACTGCATAGAACGCAAACGAAAACTCCCCCATCCTTTGTAAATGTAAGAAAGAAATGAAATGGGAAAGATTCGTATTGTCAGAACAAAAAACCGAGTCAATTTATAGCGTTAGCCCTGCTCAACCCCAACTGCATTTGTTCTCGAAAATGTAACGATATCGATGATACGAGAATATCAAATTGAAAATGCTTGAACCGTACACGTTACATCAAGATATGAGAAATCAAGTGCTCCAATGATAACATCATTGCGAAATGTCGCTCACATCTGACGGGTAGGATTCCTTGCGATTTGACGTTAACGTATAACTGCGATTGTCGTCCAAAGTCAAAGCGTTCATGCGATTACTGATGTCGGCGTTATAACCAATCTAAAATAAAAATACACTTAATAACTTAAACTGTTTTAGGCATTGAAAAAGACTGCAAAATGAAGCAAGAAAGAAATTTGGCTTGGTAATTTTTGCTGAAATTCTTGAAGTGGAGAATTCAATTGCACGATTTCAAAGAGCAGCAGAAGAGTACCCGTGTGCGAGGCGTATGGGTTGCCACCTTATTTTTGGTTGAAAAAATGTAGTAGAATACATGAAAAGTGATGGTGCTCCTACATGCGCCAATATTAGTAATTTTGTATCTATCAACTTTTCTCTTACGATGTTATTTTTAGCGGAAGATATAAGAGTAGGCTTAAAAGTAAAAAAATCTTACGAGCACTCATACAAACAGCGGAAACTCTTACAAGTACGTTTCCAGTGCGCGTAGTTAACTTGTCTCAATTTTTAATGTAAGCACCAAACGCGAAGTGGGTTGGAAAAGGTATGTCCGAGGCGAATAAGCTTTTTACAAACGGTAGTTGCACGCAGCCTCCCTCAGTGTATTTCCGTGAACTTTCACAACCATACTAAAAACAAGCAACACAAAATTCGGAGAAAATTCATGAAAGTGGCAATCGCGACAAGCGCTCGCGTATATGGTGCAAAGCAAGGCGCGGACAATCAAGTTTAACCCAGCCTGTACTTTGAACAGCAATGAACAGCTTACCTTAATCTTCTTCATAACGTCCCGCAACAGATACCTCCACAAAATAATTGCCTTGTCAATATCCTTTTCAGGATACTTGCGGCAGTTTGTTAGTGTCTTTCGAAAAATACAAATGGAACATTCCAGAAACGTAGACCAATAGTACGTTCTAAAGTAGACTACTTTGCAAGCACTCAAAAAACTCAAATCGTTTAGCTGACCGAAATTTCCCGTTCACTTCCAGCTTGCCATGACGCCTTCCTAAGTTGTCTAGAATTGGGTCTAGCGCTGATAGATTATCCATCGACATCACGGCCCCTTC